TTGGTCTTTGAGTTTTATGTCAATTCCACATTTAGTTCACATCTTTCATTTTGTACACTTTTGGTACTTGACTAATATATATTGACCATGTGTCACGCCCCAGACCGCAATCCAAGCGCGTGTACAACCGCCGTATAACTAAGTGACGTCACCCACGAGTCAACCTCACTTAATTACACAAGGCGTTCGAGAAAACAATCCATCCATACTCAGTAGTAAACATACATAACAACATCACATTTAAACCAATGAATAGCGGAAATATTCAACGGTAAGTCATGGGCCACAACCGGCCAACAACATGGGCATGCAAGCCCCAAAAATAGTTTATAGTAAAACAAATATCCATGAGCAAGTGTTCGGTAGTTTGAACGAAAATAAGGAAGCACGAACCACGTCTTCCTGATTTGATATCACCCATGAGAAGGTGCAAGTAGCAAGCTCTAGCTTCAACCTGAAAATGGTGGGGGCCCCCGAAGGGGTCAGTACAAGTACCGAGCGAGTAGCACGCTAAATATAGAATAACTAGTGTTTCAAGTATAAGACCCAAACATAGGGTGATACTTAAATAAATAGTCTTTCCCCCAAGTTATGAAATACTTATTAGTATATATATATATATATATATATATATATATATACTTGGGAAATATCCGATCCGTAGATCACCGTTTTATTTGGGAAAAATAGTAATAGTCAATATTCTTGACTAAAAAGCCCAACCCACCCATATACCTATGAGTGTATAGGACTCCTCCTTGTCCCTATTTCAATATCATAATCTATGAGTTTTGAGGGTCATAATCCTTGGGTACTCCACCGGTTTGCGAGTGTTAAGGACTCATAAGTCCTAGGGTCCTCCACCAAGTTTTGAGTGTTAAGTACTTTTAAGTACTAGGGTCCTCCACCAAGTTTTGAGTGTTAAGTACTTTTAAGTACTAGGGTCCTCCACCAATTTATAATCCGAGTGTTAAGGACTTTAAGTCCTAGGGTCCTCCACCAATTTATAATCCGAGTGTTAAGGACTTTAAGTCCTAGGGTCCTCCACCAATTTATAATCCGAGTGTTAAGGACTTTAAGTCCTAGGGTCCTCCACCAAATTTTGAGTGTTAAGTACTTTTGGGTACTAGGGTCCTCCACCAAAATATTTTCCTATGATCAACCTTCTATCAACCTAGATAGAGTCTATATCATACTTAGTTACTCATAACTAATTCAATACATAAAGCTTATGTATCACAATCCATGCAAAGCCATGCGATTCTTTAAATATATAATTAACTAATATCAACCGATATTAATTAATCCATTATCCACCGGTCAACGGTGTCGTTGACCGCCATTTCAAGTCTTACACTTATCAACTTAATCATCATGTAATTAAATTGATAATATCCATTTGGTGCTTCTTATACATTTCAAACAAATATGCATTTTATGTAATTCCTCATATCATATTCCATGCATAAATCATTTATTTCTTTCATACAAACTTAACCCTATTGGCTAATCACATGTTTAAATATCTTTTAAACATCATCATGAACTCATATAACATTTATTTAGGTAATCTCATAATTAACCCAAAAGTTATAAGATATTAAGCCGTCCACTCACCTTGAACTAGCGTTATGAAGTTCTACCCCTCTTGGTTGAACTCCGGTGAAACTCCGGCGACTTTCGGTCAACTCCGGCGACAACTCCGGCGACAACTCCGGCGACTTTTCCAACTTTGTGAAATCACTTGAAATACCTTTCACAAGTTCCTAACAAGGTTTTATAATCATAAAACCCATATTAATACAAATAACCTCAAAAAGGTTATTTTCCGGTGAACCGGTCGTTTTGGCTTCTAAGACCGTTCTTGGACATAGAATCACTTCCCAACCCATAAATCCATACTTATAACATGTAGAACACTCTTAAGGATTCTTCCCATGATATATATTTCATATGGTAGAAGAAAAATAAAGGAGAAGTCATAATAAGGTCATTACCTTAATTATTTCACACTTTTAGCACTTTAGCTCCTTTTTGGGTGATTCTTCCTTGATGAGCTCTTTTCAACAATGGAGGAAGGAGGATGAGGAGTTTTCTTGCTCTTGGTTGCTGTGTCTTGGCCGAGATAGGGAGGGGAGAGAGGGATGGGGATGGACTTTTGTCTCATTGATCTAATGAGTGCAAAAATGGGGGTCCACCTAGGTACTTTTGATGTCATTTCCTTCTTATCAACATCCTCCTCCCATGTTCCCTTCATGCACCAGCCGACCCTCCCTCAATTTTGAGTGGAAAAATCGTGGGTTGGCCCCCACTCATGTGGGAGGTCAACCCTTTTTGTCCCGAAGTGTACAATTGGTTCCGAAAGTTGTATTTTTCGGACCGTTTCATATATATTTTATTTTATCGGATCAAATAAAATATATTACGTGCTCTTACTCATTATGACATGTATAATGAATATACATTCCCCAACTTTAATTTATAAGCCCCCGAAATTCAATTCGGGCTGTTATCAGTTAAATTACTCGTACCGGTAATTTGGGCTCCTTTTTACCAATCGGTCAGCTCTGGGCCTTTCCATGGCCCAAATGAAATATCCACCACTACATATTTATTATCTAGACCACGATGAATAAAATATATGGTCTCGGGGATGTCGGGCGGCCCCCGCTCCCGGTGTGGGCCCCACGTGCAATTACTATTCACGCGAAAGAAATAATAAAAATTTACAACTTCGTAAATTCATTAATCCTTTAATAAGGTTCAATACATTATTTACATAAAGTAAATATATATTTGGGGACGGTGTTACACCATGTGTGGTCCTTTTATCAATTTTAACCACCAAAAACATTGATGAAAGGACCATATATGAACGAAAACACGATAATCATGTACCAAAAGCGGTCAAAGACGTGGATCAATTGTGGAATTGGCGTTATATATACTCGTAGGACCAAAAGCGTAATTTATTCATGTCTTATACTTAATTTTGTTCGGACATTTCATTGTCTTCAATAGAATAGAATTTGTTCATTGTTGAAGCATTTGTCCCACACCGGAAAGCTATAAAACAATTAAACACTATATAAGGCTTTGGGCTACTCCTCCTATCAGGTTGACCTTTTAGGATGGAACCCCGTGTCTTAACATGGTATCAGAGCCAATTTCGGTTGTGGTTTGACGGCTTGTTTAGCACCCATGATTAAGGGTAGCTTGTTAAGGGTTTGTTTGGCCCGATTATACACCCCGATATTGTCCAGCCCGGTTCGGGCTGAGGGGGCGTGTTGAAGCATTTGTCCCACACCGGAAAGCTATAAAACAATTAAACACTATATAAGGCTTTGGGCTACTCCTCCTATCAGGTTGACCTTTTAGGATGGAACCCCGTGTCTTAACATTCATTGATATGTGTTTAGCCAAGAGAAAGAATGATCTAAGGATGGATAAAATAGAAAGAATAGAGTATCTCGGAACACATACTCCCTCCGTCCCTCTATTAAGTTCCTACTTTGACCTACACACATATTTAGGAAATAAATTTGACTTTACTGTTTAGACACTGTTTGGCACTGTTTAGACACTGTTTGGCACTGTTTTGCACTGTTTGACACTGTTTTGATGTAGGATAACTTTCTATTTAGGGAAATGAGAAGATTATTTTGGGACGACCCAAAAAGGAAAGTAGGAAGTTAATAGCGGGACGGAGGGAGTATATAACTAAGAGTGAAAAAAATGAAAAGACACCAGACAGTTAACTAATTTAAATGTATCTTAAATCATGAAATTGGAATATAATACGCAATTTATGATGTTGTAGTAAATTGTGCTTAATTATACCAAACTACTCCCTCGGTCCCTAATCTTTCTCCCATTTCGGCTAGGCACATTATTTAAGAAAGTGGGTTTTGTGTGGTTGAGAGTTGTGCAGAGGAGAGAGAAATGTGTAAGAATGTGTAAGAATGGTTGTGAACCACAAATTCTTTGCCAAAAGGGGAAAGAGGAGATAATTTTGGGACAGACGAAAAAGGAAAGTTTGAAGATAATTCAGGGACGGAGAAAGTACTTGACATTATCTATATATCTTCATTATATTTTTCTTCGGCTGTTAAAAGTGAATTTCATAGTAAGAGACTATTACATGCCAGGAATGAATGGATATGATGAGTTCATCGAAATTCGAAAAAGACATAAAGTCAAGGCGTGTTCCATATTCCTTGTTCATTATCTACTTTTAAAAAATTACTGAGATGTAAAAAGTGATATGAAAAATGATGTTATAAAGAAAAAGAAAAGAATGAGTGCTTTGAGAACTTCCGATATGTCATCTTTAATCTTTATCATCGTCATTATTATTATTCTAATGTAAAGCGTTCTTACTCATCAGTAAGAACTTCAAGGAGCATTTGAAAGAACTCAAAGCATTCCGATCCAACAACTCATTAGAGTCATTACTCATCCTAGGCCTTAATTGTGTAGGTTATTATTTTCAAAGTGGAGAATCAAGTTTCATCATTTTTTCATATACATTACCCTGATTAAATCTTCCGATACATTAAAAGAATTGAGAGCCCGTTTGTTAACTCTATTTTTCGACTTATGTAATAATAAGAAAATGTAAGATTGAAGTTATTTTTCTTGCTATATTAGTTGAAATTATTGTAGATAACCATTTTAGCTATCTTTCATATAACTTTTTCTTTAGTTTATTATTATGAACTAAGCTAAGTGCGTTATTTATGAAAATCACAAAGCTAATTGCGTTATTTAGTACGGTTGCTTTTTTTAGTATGATGAAAACATGAGCTGATACCAAACAGTCCCTCTATACTTTTATTCATACTATATCCATCCCACTAACATTAAAACATGAGAAAGTGATACGATTATTAAGAAAAGTGAATTTATATGATTGATATTGAATTGATAAAGTAAAAAATAAAATAAAAATGATTTAAAACCATACCAATTTTTACTAAATTTGGTAATGGTGGTCAACCACCAATGAGATCTTCCATACTTGATTAAGAACAATATAACAATTATTCACAATGTTTTCTTTCCAATACTGCGAATTCATCAGACCATATTACAAAGAGAGCACCATACTTCAGAGGAGAAAGAATTTTGATGATTTATAAAGAATTGATTTATATATTATGCAACAGGTGACAAAAAGAATGGTATAGCTGAATGAGAAAACCAATGGTATTACACTTTTACATATATCATACTAAAATCAGAGGAAAAATCTATAAGCTTGTATTTCACACCCCCGATGATGTTCTGTTGATTCTTTGAGCACCAAGTTTTGGAGCAGCGGGTTTACTACGCCCCCGCCCAACGGACGGTCTTGATGTGGTCGTTGGTAAAGGAGCGGCGATGGAACCCCAGAGATCATCATCAGCGGAGCTTTCGGCTTTTTTCGCAGTCGTTCTTGGCGCAGGGTCCACAGAATCCCAGGGATCTTTGTCATGGCCGCCTCCTCTTGAGCGTGCTGCTTTAGACGTTTTTGGGACTGGAGCAGATATAGATCCCCACAAATCGTCTTCTTCTGAGTTGATCTTTGATATCCTCGGGATGGAAACTGAAGCACATGGGAAAACAAAAACGATCAGTTTTGTCGCTTAATCTCTCTTAGGGCTCCACTTGGTAGACACAAGCGCTTATTCTGATCGTCTGCAGAATAAGTAAATATTGACTTGTTTGGCTGAAATATTTTTGGTAAAATTCTTGGCTGAAATTGATGTTACAAAATGCTTTACTGTTCAGCACATTTAGCCATTAAAGTCAACTCGCCCTTGTCAAAAGGACCCGCAGATCTATCTTACCCCTTATCTTTATGCTCTACCTTTCGACTTCTACTACTCTTTCTACCTAAACCCGCCACAAACCCACTACTTTCTAAAGATCTCTGCTAAATCCAACCTATGATCGGTTTATAAGTACAGAAAAGTAATATATACTGACAGTTATATACATTAAAATCATTAATATGCACTATGTTATTAAGGAGTAACATACTCATTATAGTAATGCAAGTAGTATACACATTTGCATTACTATGTCTTTGTGTATGTACGTGTGTGTGTGTGCCTACACACTGATATGAAGCAGAATCTGGGCTTGGAAGAAGAGGGGAAGAAGCCCCCGTGGGTTTACCAAAGGCGGGACGGGCTTGAGCCTACCTCCGTGGGCTGGTTACGGGCTGTTTAATTAATATTTATTCTTTTTAATTTTCCTGATTTGTTTCCTATTAGGAGTTAATTAGGATTTCTAATATTTGTTTCCTATTAGGAGTTAATTAGGATTTCTATTATTTCTTTCCTATTTGGAGTTGATTAGAATCTTTATTATTCTGTTAGAGTTGATTAGGATTTCTAGGATTTTGTTTCCTAGTTTAATTATTAGTAGATGGGTATTTAAACCCCTTGTTAGGATTCATTCTGGCTCATCTTGGAATAAAAGTTGGTTTAGCCTTTTGGCTTTGGGCAACGGTGTTTATTTATCGTTGATTATTTGGGCAACGGTTCACCCCGTTGATTTTATTTTTCTGTTCATAACACACACAAACACACTTACACATGTACAACACATATACTCTACTCTCTGTCCCAAAATAAACTTTTCAAATTCCTACTTGAATTTTCGCTATAAAAATTCTCCGTATCCAAAAAAATAATGCATTCATTTAATAAATTTGCCTCTTACCCTACCTTTTCATTAAAGATGTGAGTTCCTAAAACTTATGCAAATTGTAAATAGGAAGTTTGTTTTGGGATAGAGTATGTATTCAAATATATAATTGAGTACTATATTTTAATACTCCCTTTGTCCCTTGAAACGTTGCCAAGTTCGACCGGCACGGGGATTAATAAAGTAAAAACTGTGTGGTTGAGGTTTGTGCAGAGGAGAGAGAATTAACAACTACCACAACTTCTTTACTTAAAATTGAAAGTGGCAAAGTTAGTGAGACAACCAAAAAAGGAAAGCTGACAAAGTTTTAAGGCACGGAGGGAGTATAAACACTTCAATAGATATTACAATTATTATTATTAAATACTACTACCTCCGTCCCCCTAATATTGAGACGGAAGAGAGTGATGTGGTTTTTAAGAAAAAGTAGAATTATGTTAGGGACCTACCTATTAGTGTTATACTAATAATAGAAGTAATAATAATAATATTAGTAATAAGGGTCTCTATTATAAATAGATGGGAAGGGGGAGTAGTAAGGAGGCTTTTGGGACATTAGGTCTGGGAACTGGGAAGATTAGAGACTCACGTTCTCTTCTTTTTTGGGAGGCTTCGGCCTTGTTACCTTTCTCCTGTAATCGATCTTCCTCTTCAATAAAGATTTTCAAATTGTTTCATTGTTAATCTATCTGTATAATTGTTCTGGATTCTTGGGGTTCCTAACAAATTATGTGGTTGATGATGAGTTGATAAAATGGGAATAAAGTAAAAATGAATTAGAGTCACACAAATGTTACCAAATATGGTATGGGATAATAATAAGGAAAAACTGAAAATAATAATCCCAACTATTGCCGGTCCGCTGAAAATAATCCCAACTATTGATTATTTTTGTATAATCCCAACTATATAGACTATCCGCCAATAATGGTCCATGACCATATATTACCTCTATAAAATGTAAATTTTAAATAGAAATTAAGTGTAAAAATTAAAAGTTGAGATTATTTATAGGGATTACTTGTTATATCTCATCTCATCCACTTTAGAAACTACAAGAATTTATTCATAGGGACCATTATTGGCGGAAGGTCCCTAAAGTTGGGATTATTCTGTAATAATCAATAGTTGGGATTATTATGAGCGGACCGCCAATAGTTGGGATTATTACTATCAATTTTTCCTAATAATTATAGGGAGACATCCAAAAATGGAAAAATGATACAATTGTAGGTGGACGGAAGGAGTAATATATTACTCCCTTTGTCCCGCTAAGATTGTTTCGTCTTTCCCACTAAGATTATCTCATACCAAATTTAGTAAAGTTTGTGTAGTTCTAAATCATTATTACTTTATTCTTACTTTACCAATTCGATATCACCACATAAACACACTTTCCTTAATAATCGCACCAGCTCCTCATGTCCCAATGTTAGTGCAACGGAGGTAGTACTAAACTACCGCAATTGCACTACAATGTGAACTGGGTATGGGGGTTTTTCTCCCTACCATAACCCGCCCAGTACCCGATCACTACCTTCCCAAATCCGTCTCGTTAGGGACCAAGCGGGTAGGTCATCCACAATATTACCCGTTACCATCCCTACTAGTGGGCACTTAAAATTTCACACCATAATGGACCTCCTACCTTGTGATTTAGGTAGAGAGATTGGACGTTTCTGAGCGGCTTGGATGTTTGAAAGAGCTGCGGGTGGCTTTTTCTCTTCAAGTGGCTCCATATCATCCCATCCATCTTTTTCATTTTCTCCATCATCGTGAATTCCATTTTCAAGCTCTCCCCACCCATCAGTAGATGTAGGGGAGTTTGGAGCTGGCTGATCAGCAATATCGGTGCTGGAAGTAGAACGGACATGGATTGGAGCTATATTTGCATCATCTGTAACTGCATCATCATTGTAACTAATAAGAACTCATATTTTAACCAAATTCATTAGCAATGGGGTTTCGAAAGAGTGGAGTAGAACATAAACTACTAAAATATGCACAAGAAGAATAGCCTTCAGTATCCACCACGAGTTTGTTTGGATAGAGGGACTTATATCTACATATATATTTGAGATTTTATAAATAAATAAATAAAAATTGAACGAGTAAACATATTATGTGAACATTATACTACTTAAATAAACACATGAAGATTATTGAAGAATAGCTTTCAGTATCCACCGCTGGTTTGTTTGGATAGAATATTTGAGATTATGCACAAAAGAATTGAAAGAGTAAATATTATATGTGATCATATACCATTTCAAACACCTTTAAAATCTCAGATACATTCTATTTCTCAAGATATAGACTGATCCCTTCAACACTTTCCACTCCAAAACCCTCCATCCAGACAGGCCCAAAAATAAAAATTAGAAATGATAATGTAACAAGCAATGCTTTAAAAAGCGTAGCCAAGCAGGCAGCAGGCTGGGGCCTAGTGCTATCAATTGAGGTTAGAGACCTAGAGCAACTATTCTGGGAGGTTTATCCTCTTGGCAAAAGATAAACCCATTCCTGTGGTGAGAGGTTCCATTTTATTGGGTTTAAAGTTGATATACAACCCTGGTATCAAAATTATAACCCCCTTTTTTCTGTTTTAAGCAGTGAGAAGAAAGGGAAGGGTGGCTGGCAACAAGTGAAGCTCAAAGCTGTTTGGGGATGTGTGCCATGTCAGGCCCATTAAAGTTGTAGGTTGAGCTTATGATAGTAGAAATGTTGCTAAACATATGGGCACACAACTTCAGACATGGCAATGAAGTAGTATAAATAAAACTACCTTTTGGGGTTCACAAATGAGATTGGAGGAGATGCTCTTAGTTGGGATCTGATGCTTTGTTTCGATAAAAAGAGTCGGAAAGGAGGTGTGAAAGAAAAAACACGATAGAAGAGAAAATTTGTGGAATATGGGTAGATTTTAAGGTGTTTGGACTTTGGATTGAAAGAAGAGAAAATAGAAGAGAGAGAGAGAGAGAGAGAGAGAGAGAGAGAGAGAGAAATGTTGAGTTTTCACTTGTCTGGTTGGATAGAAAAGTACAAAGAAGAGACAATAAAGTTAAAAATATTATTATAAATAGTAGTAAAAGTGTAAACATGAGTCATTCAATAACAGTATCCTTGTTTAGCGCTAAAAATATATTATGCAGTAGTGCAGTTAAAAAAGTACAAAAGTAGTTGATAATTCTTCTCTCGGGAGTTAACAAGTTCTATTTTTAAGGAAAAAATGGTGGTCCTCTTTGAAGAAATGAGTTGTGCTACAGTTCTATTTATGGAATTATCTACTCCTTCGAATTCTCTCCCCAACCAAACAACATAGAATAAACTTATATCTCTCTTCTTTATTTCATTTCGATCAACACAAAACAAAGGCCAAGTGAATATTTGAGCTGGGCTTAAGCGCGCGGGGGGTGGGGGGGGGGGGGACATAGGTGACCAAGGACGTCCTAGTGCTTAGGTAGGGATTAATCGGGGTTAATGGGCTATGTGGAAACTTTTACAATGGTAACAGATGCTTACCCGAGCTAGCATTTGAAATTGAAGAGGTCAATGGTGCACTAGAGCTTGCTGGTGCAACAAAACTATGCTCACTATGCTCAGAAGGTTTGCCTTTGAAGGTCAATGAGCTCATAGCCCAGCTGCATTAATATCACAAATAAATTACAGATCTAGAGATGAATGTACTAAAGGATCTTTATCGATGAACCATAAATGAAATAAAACGAGTACATAGTAACATATTAATTACTCCCTCCTGTCCTATTTATCTGTACTTTTCTAGAATTCTAAATTAAGTATATTGAGAAAGTTACATTACCTATGTAAATCTATTACAACTCACCCAAACCTTACTGAAATTAAACTCTTACAAATAAATTGTATGCTCCAGTCCCAAAAGAAGAGCAGTGTTTAGTCAAAGTATAACACTATAAGTTTTAAATAATGGCAAGGTAAACCTGCTAAGGTTTTGAAATCAAACTTATATTTTTAAATTATTTTTTAATTCAACTAAACTTATCATCATATATATGTTTGCAGTCTTCTGGAAAATAACATGAAAAGTTAGCTTCTATCGATGAGATGTAACTTTTTTTACAACAAAAAAAACCTTTTATAACTCGACTTTCTTCAATGGAGAGTAACTAATGTTTTATCTACTTCATTGTACTCCATATTATTTTCTAAATGGTAAAATTAAAAAGTTTAACTGAAGTTCCATTTATTTATTTATTAAATAGACGGTTAAAGAGGACCACAAAAACTCCAAAAAATAGACAGGTGGACAGGACCGAAGGGGGAAGTATGTGAAAAGTAGTTTTATTCTCATGGGTGCGCCCCAAGTAAATAATTGAATGTGAAGGTATACATAAAAGAAAACTTGATGGATACATGAACACGTCTTAACATACCCAAGCAAACTTGCATTTCCATGAATAGATGAAGTTTGCATGCTCATTCCGTTAGTATCTCCTGTGTTTGACTACACCACAAAGAGAAATAAACTTTAAAAGGAAAGTTATCTGAAAGTAATTGTAAAAATAAATACTACTACAGTAGACACACGATACACACAAGCACAACTCCAAGGTTGTCCCTTTTAATAGTCAAAAGTGAAGCTTCAACACAAATGTCAAAACTGGGACCCAGAGCTCATGCACCCAACTACCTGACTATCATCATACAAATTCCTAGTACGCTGCAATTTCAGTTCATTTTGTCCTTGATTTATGATTGATGGTTCTTCTATGTTTTCCAACTTATGTGATTTAATATGATTTAATATGTTTGTGTGATGCAACTTATAGCTCTTGGATAATGCACCATGGGAGTTTATTGTGTAATTTAATTAATTTAATTTAATTAAATCGTTATTTCACATTAATTTTGTTATTTTACATGGAAATATGATTTACTAAGTGCATAATTGAACAATGTGTATAATTGTATATCATCTTTTTCAAGATCGAATGCACTTCAATATTTTAATAAATGCACTTCAAGAATGACATATATATAATTATACATTATCACTTTCAAGAATGCACTTCCTAGTCCGAATAAGTGCACATTACACACAATATAAATAATGCAACTATAATTGTACTCGTGGTGAATATTTGAGGTGAATTGGTGTATTTATATTAATTTTTATGTCTCAATATTATATATGCAATCTTGCTAGTCAGGTCTTGCACTTTATAAAGTGCAGATTTGCACATATGTTTCACAATTATTGCTCTTACAGAAATTAATACTGCATACCCAATGAATATAAAGTGATCAAATTCCTTACATCTTTTCCCTTCATCTTGTTCAATATGCGGAAACATTTTTTATTTTTAAGTATTTAAAACTCAAACATCATGCTTCATAACTAATCTCTTCGCAGGAATTATAATGCGTAGTATTATACAAACCTAAACCCATGAACATCAATAAAGAGATCTAAAAGCTTCTGTCATGTGACACATGTTTTACCTCATCCCTTCAACGGTTATGCCATTTTGTAATAAAGAGAGAGAAAAAGAGATAAAGCCTTGTTTCTAATTAATTTCCATGGAAATTAAGATGATGAAAAAAAGAAACGAAAATTAGAAGAAGAAAGAAAAGGAAGGAGACGGTTGAAAGGAAGATATCATGGTCGCAATATTCGGAGGGTGGGATGATAAGCATGGAAAGAAAATTAAAAAGACAAAAACAGCCTCAACGAATAGTCCCAAAAAAAAATAAAAAACTAATCTAAGGGTTGTCATTCTTTCTCACTTCTCTCCTTAGATCATATTCTCACTTGAACCAAAATCTATATGTGTGTGTGTGTGTACTCCCTTTGTTCCTACTAGCCTCAAGTAATAATGACTGTAAAGTGTTAAACAGTTCAAACAGTGTAGATCCAGTAATATTTACCTTCAATAAACAGGGAGTTTCATGAAGAAGAAGAAAATCTGATTTCCTTAAAAGTGAGTGATATTCAAATGTTTCAATCTAGCAAGTTCTTTGAGGGACTTAAAGGAGTGTAAGTGTGTGTGTATACATAATGTGTGGTCAGTATGACATTTCAATCACCTATTCCTTTTTAACTTATCAAAATATAGACGAATCCCTCGAAAGACATCACTTACCTTCCATAACCCTCCATCTACTAGATCCTGAGTGATTGGTAAGGTTTTAGATGAACAAAATTTATGCAGCTATTTATTAAGTATTAAAAACAACTGGAAAAAAACTATGAATTGAACATGGAAAAGTCGTACTGCATTTTGGAGGAACTTTCCTTGAAAGCAATATTCAAGGAAGTTCACTGCTTCCTTGAATATAGTCAAGAAAGCAATATTCAAGGAAGTTCACTGCTTCCTTGAAAGCAATATTCATAGGGTAAATATATTAAAAAATCGAATCTGTGATTAATGCAAACATTTACCTTATCCTGTTGTTTTACTAATTGCAAGAATTGGTCCACTGCTTGAAACGCTTTTGACCTCACATCACTGTAGCGTAAAAAAGAACATATCAGATAAACAGGGAAACAGTGACATAAATTATTAGGAGCAGCAGGAAATTATTAAGGAACCATCAAATAAACAATATATCAGGGAAAGTGGTCTGAGACTATTACTTCAGCTTTTATTGATACCTGTCAGGATCAATAGTAAGAACAACAATGTTTGGCAAAATTCGTGTAGCGATCTCAGTCACGTCGTAATAAGAACTGGTGGCACATAAAGCCATAACACCTGTCGCCAGAAGAGTATCCACATTTGTAAATATTGAAGTCAGAAAAAGCCGGTGAGAGTGGAACTTGGGCCATGGGGAGAAGTCAATGAGTTTCATCACGAAAAATAAATATCAAATATACTCCCTCTGTCTCATTTTGTATGATACATTTTTCTTTTGGGTTGTCCCAAAAATATGAATATTTTCCTAAGTTCAACACTACTAACTTTTGTCTTTCCCACTTTATCTAGTAATTCACCTTTTTACTTTTTGTGGACCAGTGGACCCATACTACTTTTTCTTACACTTTGAAGGTTACAACTGTAAAACATCAACTACATTTATTATTTTCTTAAAACCCGTGTAAAACTCAAATGTGTCTTACATTATGGGGTGGGGGGAGTACCGTATTTTCAGATACTATTTTCATGTAGTCATGGAGATAGGGTAGGGAGAAAATCAACTTGCAAAGATGTCCTAAAATATAACAATGAAAAGTGGAATATCTACCTGCTCCTCGGGCTGGCGAAAATGTGTCACGCAGAGCACGTGCAGTGAATGCATTTATAAGAACTCTTTTCCTTGTCTGCATGAAGAAAATACAACAGATCGCCTTTTAACAAGAATATCAATGAAACCAATAGAAACTCAATCATCAGAAATCAAAATGTTAAATGATATTAACAGTATACTTCAATCTCAAAGCTTACCCCTTCGTTGAGGTGACTGGCAATATTTCCAAGTAATATAGTTGTATTTGTTCTGATTGCAGGCTCTTCATCCACCTACATCATGCACAGGAAACATGTAAGGAAACAACACACCATAAAAAGAATCACATGATACTTCCTCCATCACTTGATAAGGTTTGCACTTGGACTTGGCATGCTTTTTAATAATCTTTTTTATGTTTTGCTTTTGAACTTCCAAGTTTTCCCTATGAACATGTGGTAGGGAGTATTAATAGTGGTAGGGGTGGAAATATTAAATGAGGGTAGTATCTAAAGTTAACAGCTCCTTTTCCAAATAGATTAGGATTTAGGATCATAAATAAAAGAGGGCCTTATTTGGGACAACACCAAAAAAGAAAGTATGAATATTGTTTAGGTTCGGAGGGTGGAGGGAGCATTCAAAAGAAAGAATGATGAAAATAACTTCTATGTTTTCAATGGACAGAAATAGGACCCCTTCTAATATTTCCAAAAAATGCCAAAATAGGACTGACTATCTATTCCTGTGTTTTCTTCTCTCTCCCACGCCAACCTCCCAATTGTCACTGTCATTGCCGCCACCCCGCCAACCACCGCCAGAGTTCCTCTGACAAAGTCAACGCAAAGCGTCCGCAAGTGACATGTGGCGGTAATATCACTGGTTGTGGCGGTAACTGGCAGTCGCATACTTAAATTGACATATATAATCATTGGTCTTCTCTTTTTGGCACTGATATCATGATTCGATTCACGTTAGCCGACCCCAAAATCTTTTGGGATTAAGGCTTGGATGTTGTTGTTATAATACCTGTAGCTTAGAAAGATACTTCAATAATGATCCTGATATAGTACGTTGGGATAGCTGCAATTACAAATCAGAATAAGATTAGAAGAATAAAACTCGTAATAATACACATGAGTAGAGATGAATTTGGAAACAAAACTCTCATACTAGTCCATTGCAAACAATATGAAACATCTATTTACAAACATGTATGTCGAAATACTTAAACTGATAGAGTGCTGACAGATCAGAGGCGCAAGAAACAAGGATTAGTTGTTGACTGAGTCTTCATTTATATATTAATTATTGTTTATTTGTTTAAACGAGTCAGTTAGAGAATAAGTGGGGTTTGGTGTCATGCATCAGTCCACTAGGCAGTTATTAGATCATGGGTGGAGTCAGTTAGTGTGTCGGTTAATTGGTAGATCATGGATGAGTCAGTTATATGTCAGTTTATTTCCTTCTTTATAAATAGCCTAGCCTTATTCAGGCTGAGGCATGCATGAATCAATATTATTCTCAGACCCGGAGATTCTCCCTTGGCTTCTACTATATCACTCATATGTGAGATACTTGCTGTGAGAAGAGAGTAGGAGAGTTTAATCTTCCATATCTTTCCTTTTAATTTCTGATCTTAACAATTTGGTATCAGAGCCACGTTTTATTCATCCATGGTGACTACACGCTCATCAGCCGCAACCCGCAACCCAGAGGAAAATCCATTTTCTGCCGATCCTTTGGCCACCATTGCAGCGAAACTGGAGACACTGGACGAGTTAAAGGAAAAGGTGATGGCCTTGGAGATTCAAGCCTCCAAATCCAACCGAGGAAAAGGGAAGACGAGACGGTGGACCGATGATATTGAAGAAGAATCAGAAACGCATCGTCTGCGACCACCACAAGCAAAAATCGAATTCCCGAAGTTCCAGGGAGGTGACCCGCGTGGGTGGATTCTTAAGGCTGAGAAGTTCTTCCGTTATTACGAAACACCCAAAGATGACAAGGTGGACATAGCTTCAATGTATCTGGAAGGAGATGCTCTGGATCTGTTCTCGTGGATGAATACTGAAAGGACTTTGCTCTATTGGGAAGAATTGGTGAAAGCTCTAGAGGAACATTATGGGCCTCCTGAGTACTTGAACCCAGATGAGCACTTGTGCAACATTAAGCAAACAGGTTCTGTAGCGGAATACCGACAAGAGTGGGCACGAAGGATTGCACGAGTAACCAATTGGCCGGAGCACTGCTTGCTTGGAGTATTCCTGAATGGTCTCAGAGAAGAAATCAGATCAGAAGTCAGAATTCATAAACCACGGTCAGTTTATCGGGCTGCTAGTTTAGCCATAGAATTTGAGAAAAAGCTAGCCCAAATGAAGGGGGTTAGGCCCAATTCATACGCTTGCCAGATTCAGCCCACCTCCAGTACTAATCTCATTAGTCCAGCACATGATCAGGGAGTGACACCGGGAAATTCCAGTACGCTTTCTTCTTCGACAAACCCAAACAGTGCCACAAATTCACTTCCATCCGCAGCACGCTCGTGGGAAGCAACAAAACAGCAAAGGCGCGACAAGGGGCTGTGTTTCCGATGTGGGGACTCATTCCGACCGGGCCATCGCTCTTCTACTACATTCTCGTTATTGGAAGTTGTAGAAGACGAGCATTCAATGCCAAGTTCTTTAGAATCAGCCAAAGATGCAGAACAAGAACCACCTGCAGTAGATGCCCAGTTTTCTTTTAATGCCATCTTGGGTGATCCAACCACAACAACAATGAAACTGCGGGGTTTATTGGCTAACAAAGAAGTATTGTTGTTAGTAGATAGTGGCTCAACTCACAACTTCATATCAGATTCTCTGGTAAGTGAACTTGACTTGACAACCTCCTCTACTCAGACAACCTCCTCTACTCAGACAATTGGGGTTCAGCTTGGTGATGGTCATGTTGTGCGTTGCAACTGTGTGTGCAAGGAGATTTCAGTACAACTTCCAGGTTTGGCCATCACCCAAGATTTTTATCCATTTTCTCTTGTGGATTCTGATATGGTACTGGGAATTAAGTGGCTTGCATCACTCAATACCATCCAATCTAATTGGAATGATATGTTCCTCATTTTTTGGGTGAATGGGAAGAAATATAAGTTACAGGGAATACAAAAGAGAGATTGTCAATCTGCAAGTTTTAATCTTATGACCACAGTCGAGTCTACATCTAGTGCTATTAATGTGGGAATGGTGTCCATGGAATTTGAGGCTATAGAACCTGTAGCTCTTCCTCCTTTCAAAAATCAATTCCATGAAACTGAGCGACAGGTAGAGGACTTTCTAGACAAAGGGTTCATTCGTCCTAGCTCACATCCATTTGCAAGTTCAGATCTGTTGGTGAAGAAACACCATAATTCAGTGCGTATGTGTGTGGGTTATCGAGCCCTCAACAAAATCACAGTACCCGACACTGCATTGGGCGGTCATGGTGGATTCCTTACAACTTTGAAACGGATCTCCAGTACTGTTTTTTGGCAACACATGAAAGATGCATATCAGCATGCTCATCCCACAAAAGAGGCTACGTGGGAAGACTATGAATTCTTAGTGCAACAATTTCCAGAAATTCGCCTTGAGGACAAGTCGGGTTTCAAGGGAGGGGGTAATGATAGAGTGCTGACAGATCAGAGGCGCAAGAAACAAGGATTAGTTGTTGACTGAGTCTTCATTTATATATTAATTATTGTTTATTTGTTTAAACGAGTCAGTTAGAGAATAAGTGGGGTTTGGTGTCATGCATCAGTCCACTAGGCAGTTATTAGATCATGGGTGGAGTCAGTTAATGTGTCGGTTAATTGGTAGATCATGGATGAGTCAGTTATGTGTCAGTTTATTTCCTTCTTTATAAATAGCCTAGCCTTATTCAGGCTGAGGCATGCATGAATCAATATTATTCTCAGACCCGGAGATTCTCCCTTGGCTTCTACTATCACTCATATGTGAGATACTTGCTGTGAGAAGAGAGTAGGAGAGTTTAATCTTCCATATCTTTCCTTTTAATTTCTGATCTTAACATAAACTCTATATTTCATGAAAGTTTCTTCGTTAAAAAACTTATACCACATCCCCCAAGAAAAGAGTCATGCTTTACTAAGGTACAATTTGCTTACATTATCAACGTAGAAATCATCAATATCAAGCTATATTTTGGATTCAGATGTGATTCACTTAAATTTAACATAGTTAATTTGTTTGGGAAGGAGACTACCATTCTGTAGATTCTTCATCCTCTCAATTTTTTTCATCTTTTTTATCATTTTTATCTTTCTTATGTTCTTTATCTTTTATATCTTATATTTCTTATCCTTTTTATCTTATCATTTTTATCTTTATCTTGTCTTTTTATCATTTTTGTCTTGTCTTTTTTAGCTTTTTATCTTTCTTATCTTTTTAGCTGATTCCATGTGTCGGTTCATGTTGGCCGACCCCAAACTCTTTTGGGACTAAGGCTTGGATGTTGTTGTAACTTGTTTGGAACACTTTCTTTTTTGTAAATACACTAAGAGCCTATTTGGTAATACCCAAATCGGCTGCATTGACTATTTCTGCTAAAATTTATGAAGTTCTGGCTGAAGTGGCTGATTTTGCTTATTTATGATAAAGTTATATTTAAAATATATTTTATTAATTAAGTAGAGAAAAAATTATATGAAAAAATAGTTAAAATGACTTTTTAAAATAACTTCAGCCAATACAACCACGAAAGTAACTTCAACCTTACTTTTTCTTATTAGTTATTATTACACAATTCCGCGTGCAAAATCAAAAGTCACAGGTTTGGTGAAAAGGTTGGCTGATAAGACGAAAAACAAGGTCACCAAACAGGTTCTAAATATAATAAAAATAGCGTCTTTTGTTCAAATAGGACTCCTTTGTATGGAAAACAATGAGTTATCGAAAGGAACTCTTTTTAAGGGCGGAGGGGGTACAGGATTCACATACCTTAGGTGCCAAAACTAGCATAGACTTAAGAGTCAACTCCCGAAGAAAAGCAGATGTGTCAGAGAATCCAGTAGCAACATGAGGATAAACCTAACCAAAAATATACTCCACCACATTACCTCATCAGGCAACAAGTTCTTCCTAAATAAAATGTGTTTTTTTATGTATAATGTCACCAAATATTGGCATACTTGTTCATCAACAATTTGTGAAGACAATGACTCCCCAAATTGATCAACATGCTGCAGAAGACTAACTCGTATTGCCCGGTCATTGGAAGCAAAAAGTTTCACAATTGTTGGTAGTACCTGTGGATAGGCGTGACAGCACCTCAGAAAGCTAAAGTTTGCAAAACTTGTGCTTTATAGAATGATGATGAGAGTATAACATGCTCTGCATCTTTATGCTTTTACATCAACGAATGGTGTTGTCAAATAAGACTTTAAGAGTGTAACCTTGACAGTAAATTCTTCTGTTGAAAGCCAAGAACCCATTTTCAAAAATGCTGTCAAAGCAGGTGCAGCAGCTGAACCAAATTCTAGAGAAGATGCAAGCAACGGAAGCAGCTGCATGAAACAGAAAATGTTAAACATAATTTTCTTTCATTATTAATTATTACACACTTAAAATATACGTAGTATATTTATTAAGTGTATTGTCTTGAGATATTTAAACTACCTTTTTCAGCACTATCTGGCGAGGAAGTTGATCTGCCAAATTGGGAAGCTTCCGGAAGAAAGTATCCTTTTCAACACTGTCCTTCAAATTAAGAATTTCCATGAATTGTATGGTATCTACCAACTTATTTTGAAAGTATTCTGGCAATAAACAAGTTAAAAGAAAAAAAACAATGGTCAGCATCATATTATTACAGATATGGCTACGCTAAAATGGCATGCACTACAAAACATGAAGCTTCATTTCAAGTTTCAACTCTTGAGCAGTAACTAAAGCAAAAACATAGACCAACGGTTTAGTGCTTGTACATTGGTATCGGAGTTAAGAAAGACAAAAAAACATTGTAAGATGTATAAGAAAGCTGCATGGTAAATAAATGCTTGTATTACAGTTAGAAGCAAAAAAAAGTAAAAGACGCGCTGAATGGGAACAAAATACTTCACCACTATTTTCCAGAAGCTTAGATGAGTTTAACCGTCGAGCAGGTGTAGCACTCAAGAGACGCTGATAATCTGGAAGCAGAGACTGACAACAAATAGAAAATGGCCCATTGAAAATGAATGCTTCAGTCAGTGGAAGATATAAGCTTATAATTGAACATCATAAACCTATGTACTTCATAGTTCATACTTTATAGATTGAAGTGAGATAAAAAGAATCTGGCAATAATTTGCGCACTGCCCCAGCCCTCCGGAAGAAATGAAAAAAAAATGCATAGCAATAATATGAGCTAAAATGAATACCTTAGGGATGGAAGATATGTTACGCAACTCCTCTGTCTTGCTCAACTTTGTGCCCGAAAAAAGTTCATAAATAAAGCAACCTGATAATTAACCAGGAACTGGATAATTAGTTTGCAGCATAGACAAAGTCAGACAAAAGTCAGACAACTAACACAACTGGGAGTAGTCAAAGTTAATCACAGACACTAATAAAAAAGTGACATCTTTTCCATAAATTAACCAAAAGCCTATAAGGGGCGGGGCAATCATGTTTGCATTTCATGAGAATTCAAATCACATGAGCCACAATTTCCAAACATGTTGTTTCAAAGCAAGCCAGCGAGTTTGAAATGTTAAGGATCAAGGCACAAATGACTAAAGCATCACAGTTGAAGAAAAAGGTGTCAATAATAATGGAAAAGCAATTGTTAAGCTGCAAATCCTGCAATGAAATTTTCATATGCACAACATCTAATTTATAGGCAAGAAGGGCAAACATAAGAGCATATTCAATTAGGCCTGGGACCGGTTCGGTTCCTAGTCAAAATATATGGAACCGTTTGAAAATATGAAATTTTACTAACGGTTCGGTTCTTATAAATTATTTTAGAGAACCGATATGGAACCGAATCGTTCTTAATGATTCGGTTCTTGCCATTTAACGGTTCCTAGTCTTCAAAAAAAAGTACAAATCACAGTTAACGTTTTAACTTACAATGCAAATATGTTGAACATCATTTCAAACCTCAAAAGGTTATTTTAAAACATAAATACATAACAAACTGGAAATTTTAGTATATAAAACAGTGAATGTAATATAAAAATAAATAATAATTTTTGGAACTAATAAGAGGCGTAACTCCTAAGAAACCTAAGAGAACCGGTTAAAATGAATAACAGTTTTAAATTCTTATATAACTAAACTAAAATAGTGAATGTAATATAAAAATAAATAAGTAAATATATATTAAAATATATATACTAATAAGAAATATATAAAATTTTAATATATAATGGTTCCTTAACGGTTCCAGGTACATATTTTTTTCAGGAACCGAGAACCGATCCGTTAATAAAAATAGGAACCGAACCATTAAATAATACTCGTAAGTCGTAACTAATAAAAGTTGGAACCGAAACGAACCGGGTCATAACGGTTCAGTCCGGTTCGGTTCTGTGGTTCTTGGTTCCAAAGTCCCAGCCCTATATTCAACCACTACAGAATTTGAAAAGAAGAAAAAGCTTGGTTAAATGAAAAGGACACCATGTTCGAGAGAATATTTTTTCAAAGTTGTGGATTCATTGAACCAGTCGTTTAGGAGCAGATTTTTTAGCCTTCCTCGAGGGAATAAAAATTGCTAAAGCATTTGCTAATTGCCTATCCAATACTTTAATACATTTCACTTCACTATAACAGTGTGGAAACCCTAGTTGTATTGGGCTTAGCCCATTTTGTATAGGAACCCTAATACTCTAATATAGCTACAAGTATAGCTACTTGTATAGCTTTTTTTATATGAAGAGTAATGAATATAATCATACTTCACATGGTATCAGAGCAAATGAAGAAAAAACAGAAGACATTTTTTTTGTCTCTTTTTTCTTTTCTTTTCTCTTAGAGGTCCTAGAGTAGAATATATTTGTAACAAGCTTGGTACATATGATTCATATGCTCCAGCTTGAGGGGGGTGTGGAAACCCTAGTTGTATTGGGCTTAGCCCATTTTGTATAGGAACTCTAATACTCTAAAATAGCTATAAATATAGCTACTTGTACAGCTTTTTTTATATCAAGAATAATGAATATAATCATACTTCACAAACAGAAATCGTGCTAATTTATAAACATCAGTTAAACGTCAAGTACTGAGTAGTGTGAATGCACAAAAACGTTCCATACAGTATTCAAAGATGATTACTATTTTTTAGGGCTCGACCAGGGATGCACGTGCAGAACTACTACGCGGATCAATTTCAGTTGATTTCTGCTTAATTTATATCCAATGGATAGATGCTTACCTAAACCCCAAGAATCAATAGCCCAAGGTGGAGATTTTCTTATTGTTTCCCAATCAGACTTTAGCATCTCCAATGGTTTATATTGTGCACCAATAAGCCATTCGTATTGCTGCATAATAAATTAAAGAAATCATTAATTATTGCTGTTCAAAACATAATTTCAAGTAATCTTGGATTTCACTATTGGATTTCACACCCAATAGGAGACTACGAGACTGCTTTTCAAAATTATGAACGCTTGGGAGAGTATACAGTATGGGAACTAGAATAGAACAGATGTAAGACTGCTGCATGTTTCATTACCCAATAATATTTACAGCGGAAAAAAAATTAGATAGCACCATAAAAGGGATTATTAGATGCAAATTGTGAGTTTATGAATCTGTCACGTGTTAAATCTATTATAGAACTAGGTACTTATCAATTCAAATCATTACTCTTCATAAATTCGAAATTCTTTTCCTGATAAAAATATGTATTAATCGTCAAGAACACCCAAATGACTGTCCAAATGATAAATTTGGAGTGCAGATTTACCAGCATTGGTCCAGGAGAAGCTTCACTTTTTCCATCAAACTCGGAAAGAACATCAAAGGCATGCAGTTTCCAGTCCAGAGTTTGAGTAACAACAACACTATCAACACAAACATTGCCATGAACCTGAATCAACAAAAAAAGTGTTTCAACCTTGAAGTGTCATAAGCAGCACAAATCAAGAATTTTACGAACACTTACACCCCCAAGAAATGAGATTTAGAGTATCTTACAAGCTTGCAATCGTTATTCAAGAAGCTCACTGCCTTGGTTATTCGATGCAAACCCCATGCACAATACTCATCTCTGCAATATGCATCTCGTTAAAAAGCAAAACCGGCCAAACAACCATTTGTACAATTGTACCCATTCAAAGTTTGAACCGCTTTAGAATGAAACAAAATTTCTCACTAGACCTGTTTACTATCAAAAAGTAATATTCTTAATTTCTTACAACAACATCAACAACACCCAAGCCTTAGTCCAAAAAGATTTTGGGGTTGCCTAATATTCTTAATTTCTTAATTGAAAACAAATCATTAGGTCAATAACAGACAGAAAAGATCAAATTCCTGTAATTAAATTTAATAATAAAACATTTCATAGCTGTGCAATGGTTTGTGACCACTTCAGTTGGAAAAGTGGTCTTAGGATAACTCTTTACTAGCAAAAAGTTACACCTTTTCCCATTTTAATGGAAAACCGTTATTAATCTTGAGCCAATAACAAAATACTATGTCTTCAAGAATTTTCTTTTAAAAAGGGTCCCTTTAAATAATGCCTACTCTATAGAGAAAGGTAACCAATGACATAAGGCATGCAATTGTTAAGCAATATCCAGCTCAACAAGCTGCCAAAGTAATATTTTAAAACATGAATACACGAGCATTTCATGTGCAATTAAATCCAATTAAGTTAAGGCCAAAAATCCACACACTATAAAGTACAAAGTTAAACAATCACAATACTTAATAAATTGGTCTAAACGCTATAAAGTACAATAAGTTAAACAATCAAGGTAATTGATACCTTTGAGTAGCAACCAATCCCAATTCTTTTAGCTTTTCAGAGAGTGGCATAACAGGCTCAGTGACAATATATATAGTAACCTTTGTAGTTGAACCATCAAATATTTCAGCTTCAGTGCTGTGAATAAATGATAAAATATTGGGGTGTCTGACCTGAAAATAGAAGAGCAAAGGTAACACAGAATAACTGAAATGTCTTAAAGAGGACATAACATCCGGGATTAAAGTGAAACACAAACACAACCTTACAAGAAACAGGATAAGAAGATATCACTACTCTGGTGAATTAAAGCTTACTGTGCGAAGTCGTTTGACTCCATTGCGACCTGCTGCCAAATGTCCATCATTTGCATTGCTACCTGAGAGTGCGAATATAGAAACAGGTGCCCCATCATCCTAGTAATTATAGAGGCATATGTGCCGCCGTGTAAAAAATCATTAGGGTATAATCAATTAATCACCCAGATCACGATAAGTTGTAGGACATAAAATAAGTCATGTGACTATAAAAGCACTATGATTATTTTATCTAACATCATTTGAAAACCAAGAACACAAACAGAAGAATTTAAAACTGCAATTTAAGACCATAGAAGAATTTAAGAATGCATCTTTACTACCAAAAGACAATGCATTACTTCTTATGGAGCTCCGATCCTAATTTTCATTCTAAAAGGTGAAAATGAATCCGGGGGATGGAAAAGAAAGAATGAAATTGGCAACCTGTTTTAAAGAATCTCAAGTGACAACATTAGCAATATAGGAGCCAGAAAGATAATTTGTTTTATGTGAAGTGAGGAGCGTGAGGTGATGCACAATCTCTAAAATCTGATTCTACATATCATTCTGCTAGATTTTCTTTTAGTTGAGACACGGGCAATGCATCCACGGACTTCCCCTGAAACTCAATTCTTCATTAATAAACTTGAAATCGGCCTGCTTTGAGTTACCAACTTACCATATCCTGAATTAACATTTTCTTACATACTATCTATGATCACTACACTCCTGGAAAGAAGCACAATTGAGGTAAATGCGAGGCTAACTAAACCACTTACAGCATGTTGATCTAGGGAGCAACCGAAAATATCGACATAGGCAAAGAAAGAATAAGGAATTTGAACTGACTAGATAACAGGGAAACAGAAGCGGGGAATAATTACTTTGGAGGTTCCGCGGTAGTGAACCCAAGAGCCCCAGGCTGAGGAATAAGGCTCGCCGATATTGTAAGGAAGATCCTTAAGGCCAGCCCCGGATCCGGCGACGACGCCTTTCAAGAATTTCAGCATCGTTTTTACTCCGCTGATATTCTACTACCGGTGGCCGGCAGCAATTGATCTGGAGATTTGTTACCGGGAGAATGGAAGGGGGAGAGTGGAAACGCGAGTATCCGAAAAAACGGAAAAACGGCAATAAAGTAAAGAATTTATTTTATAGAAATAGTAATAATAATCACAATATATCACAATAACAATAATATATCACAATAACAATAATATGATCATGAAAATAAAAGGGTATTTTACCAGAATATTACTAAAATAAAACTTATTTACATAAATATGACTATTCATTACTACAACGTAGTGCTGTGATAACTAAAGTTCAAAACTTGAACATGAATTACTATGATTTCATTACTACTCTAGTAATGAATCATATTTTTGTAAACCATCTTTATTTTGGTCATATTTATGTAATTATTTCAAAATAAAATTAATAATACTACTAATAATCTGAAGTTTGAGACAAAGTTGATGCAACTTTTTAAAATACTTTTTTATTTTGTGTAGAAGTGTGCAATTGTATTCAACATTACAATAAAAATTATGTAAAAAATTATTAAAGATTTGATAGTGAAGTATACATAATATTCCGTACTTCTTATTGAAATTGACATTATTATATAAATACTCATAGTATTTGCCAAGAAGGTGTTTGGCAATTTGTTAGCGGATTAAAGTAAGATGTTTAGATAATTTAATTGTTTATGATTAATTATTAAGACGTAAAAATGGTTTTGGAAGATATATGGATATAAAAGTAGATATATTTGACTTAACCTTTTATTTATATTTTTGATAAGTTTTAAAAATACGTTTTCAAAATTACATTTTCTATTACCTTATGTAGTAAGTACTACGTAGCAGTGGAGGACCTAGGGAGGGGCCTAGGGGGGCAAGTGCCCCGGCTTCCGATCATGAAGTTTAGTATTAGTACTTAAGATAAAAATTGTGCCCCTACTATTTGGGCAAAAAAAGAGTATTTTTCATAAATATTATTGGAATATAACTAATGAGCATAATCATGGTCACTAAAATTGTTATGGTAGTACCTAAGTCATATTTCTGTCCACTATCTTTATTTCAATTATATTGTTATTATTTCAAAAAACTATTAGAAATATAGGACTCCGTCATAGACATATAATAATTGTAGTAAGAAATATAAACAACTCTGAAGTTGTGATGGAACAAATTCTTATAGTTAGATATGTTGTTATATGGTTACTGCACTTTCTTTGAAAAGTGGCATTGATGATTTTTTACTTGTTGTGAATAATGTTGATCCAAAGTTAAAGTTCAAAGATATGTAAAAGGTTCTAATATGCGGGATAAACTTAAAAGATTGAAGACTTTTATCTTGAATAAAAGTCCATACATGAAAGAATGTATCAATTCGCGATAAATTAGTTTCAAACTGACAACCCCTTTAAATTTTTTCTATAATACGAAGTATATGATATGATACTCGTAAAAGGTAGATATATATAGAATCATATTAATAAATAAATTTGTGTTAAATTATAAAATCCTAAACTTGACTTATACTTCATTTTTAACACGATGGTAATATATTTCATTTCAAGTACCAACAAATTTTGTGGCACAATGTATAACAACAACATGATCCTAGTTCAAATATGAAATCTTGATCATTTTATAGTATGAAAAGTAGCAAAAATTCTAATGTAAAATCATAAGCTGCACAAAGATGAGTCATTTCTTATCCGTCAAATTATGTAATTCTTTCCAAAAGACAAATATTATTGTTTAGAATTGTCTTATTGAGTTCACAATTAGATTTATAATCCATATATGTTCACTGCATGGCGTCGGCATTGAATAATCTATTTCCAGTTAAAAATATTAATTTGAACGCACTTAACAAAAAAGACTAATGATACACCTAATTCGGCCCGACCCGACCCATTTTCATCTACGTTGGAGTGCCCCTGCTTCGGGAAAATTCTGGGTCCGCCACTGCTACGTAGTACTATTATTTTTAATATATACGTACACATGTAAGTGTGAGTGTCTTCGTTTACTTTTCGTATTATTATACGGAGTAATATTGTAGTATCATGTTTCACAATCATTTTTAATTTCAATATAATATACTACATTTGTATGTGTCATCTAAATGGGAACATGAGAAAGTCGTGTGATTATTATTAAAAGTAGGATTATGTGATTGGTGTTAAATATGGAAGGTGTGAATAAAATAATACATGCAAGGAATTAGAATCATGCAAATATTACGATATATGGTAAGCGGGTGACTTAATACTCCATAGGATGGATCAGAAAGAATATGCATGTCACAAATATAGTAGGGCGTATGGAGTGTCTTATATACACTAGTGAATGTAATGGCATTATTGGCCATAATCGGCTTAAAATTCGTTAAAATTAAAATTGTATCCATATAAAATAATTCCCTCAATGCTTGGAAATTTGTTTCTGTACGACAAATCTCATCACTATTTGATTTTTTTATCCTGTGAATAAGCTTTTACGAAAACATTGCATTTTTAAGCCGAATTTAATCCATCCAAACAGTTAAATCACATGGGGGCCAGCTAGTTTGGATTAGAAGATGAAGTGACTTAATCTAAATATTAATTAATTGATTTGACATGTTCTTAATTTTAGTGTTTCAGTTTAGTCCTCAAATTTGTATTAGTGTCAGATTGTGTAAATTTTACACTTCCTATAGTCAAAGTTCATCTTGTTTCTATTCAACCATGTGCTTTTATGGACGTCTTGGTTACATAATCCATTCACAATTTTTGTTGTGCGGTTAAATGAGTCTTTACTTCATTCAATGCACATTTCAGTTTCATCTTTTAACAAAAACAAATGCTTTATTAAATAAAAATGAAAAAAGTACTAGCACTAATCAGGGGAAAAGCAAATGAGACTAAACAAAGCTAACGTTGGAGAGGAAATAGAATAAATGAGCAATGAAGTCCAAAGTGAGAAAACGGCTCCAAATCCCAAATCGTTGCAATCCAAAGTGAAAAGCATTCCTAATCGCCCAAAAAAATCTTCAAACAAACTCAAAGATAACTAAGACAACCATAATTTCATAGTTTTTTTTTTGCTTTAAGACGGGTGCTCCTCCTAGGTAGAAAGAAGCGCATAGCCGATAAGCCTTTCATCAGAATTGGATAATCAGTCAATTAAGTCTCCATCGGTGAGCAACTGTCGAACAAGAGTAGCTTCAACATCTTCACCTGATTCGATAGAGGCCGAAGAAACTAACCCTCCCTCAACTAAGGGCAGTAGTGCACTTGACATTGAAACTTGAAAAGGTGATGAATCAATAATACCCAAGGTGATGATACATTTTGGCCCAGTTTCGATATGTCAGTTTAAATAACTCCTTTTTCTAAATTCCTCCGATCTTAGAACCCTAGAGTCCATTTCCCAGAGCGGTTTTCTTCAAGCATTTATTCCTAAACTATCCAAGGTGAATTTTGGTGTCAAAAGATTGTCCCTAAGTAGATTTTTCTCGACAAGTGTGTTTCTACCGATTTCTTCTGTTTTCTTTGATTTCTCTCTCCCCGGTTGTAATCCCAGAACCCGGAGAATTTCTAGGGCCGTGTGTGATCTCTCAAGCCAGGAAATTCGTGTAGATTTGTTGCTAGCTCTGAGGTAAGTATCGATGTCAACCAAAAGTACTATTTTGACCCTATTATATATTGATTAGGATTTGAGCTATGATTTGAGTTTGTTTTTGAAATTATATGAGCATTTCGGCTAAGTTATATGATGGATTTAGTTATATGTGATTTTATGGAATTTTTTGGATCTACGTATTTGGGTAAAACAACCAAATTAGTTTGCTAGGGCCAAAAATAGTTGTTTTGGATTGGAAAATTGAGAGACATTGTTTTGGTGTGATTTAGAGCATGTTTAATAATATCAGAATAACCTGAATCGGTTGATTCTGCTGAAACTTGTGAAGTACTTGCTAAAGTAACTGGTTGAATCTTATGCCATGAACGGGTTTCTACTTCCATCAGATACTTGCAATGAAATTGAGTGAACTATGAATGATTTTGGTGGAGGGGACAAACATGTAAGGTTAAATGTGTAAGATGGAAAGACTGAGATGATTTATGCTTACCATAAAACATGGGGGTATGGGTTTTCGTAAATTGCAGGAGTTTAATTTAGCCATGTCTGGGAAACACGCATATAGCTTAATAAGGAACCTCACTTGTGGATTAACATACTGTAAAGGCAATATATTTTGCAAACGTCAGCGTTCTCGAAGCAAAAGTTGTAAGTAATCCATCCTTATTTTGGAGAAGTACATATTGTTGCGGCTATTCTAGTGATTCGGGAGGGACTAGTTGACCGATTTGGTTTGGGGGAATTTGTAACACCATTCCCAAGTATATATACTTTCAACAAATTATGTATTGAACCTTGAAAAATGGTTAATGAATTTACGAGTTTGTATTTTTGTTATTACTTTTCGTGAATAGTAAAATACACATGGGGCCCACACCAAGAGCAGGGACCGTCCGATATTTCTAGGACCACATATTATATTCATCTTGGTCTAGATAATATTTATATGATTGTGTATATTCATGTTGGGCCATAGAAACGACATGGGGTTGGCCGGTTGATCAAACGAGGCCCATATACTGGTATTGGTAATTCAGTAGATAACAGCCTGTAATAAATTACGGGGACCACTAAATTAACGTGGGGGAATATATTTTATTCTAGAGGCCCACAATATTTGGGAGAATGATATATATTTCATTTTACCCGATAAAATACAGCTTGGTCCGAGCAATACATCTTTCGGGGTCAGATGTACACTCTGGGACATAATGGGATAACCTCCCACATGAGTGGGGGCCACCCCACGAATGCTCTCAAGTTGACAAAAGCGGGCTGTAAGACATTGGAGGAGGAGTGAAATTGGGGTGAGGAGATGTTTGAGTGAAGAGAGGACATGAGATGGACCTCACATTCACACACATTGGACTAATGAGACAAAAGGACCATTCCTACTCTCTTCCCTCTCACCCACTTCAACCAAGCCACCAAAAAGAGAGGAATAAGCTAGGCAAAACACCTTCACCATTGTTAGAACCGTGT